TCTTCTCATCAAGTCGAAGTATTCTCAGTCTAAGTCGGTTTAAATGAGTATCGTCTAAATTCTACTCATTAAGACTAAGTCTTCTCAGTCTAAGTCGGTTCAAATGAGTTTCGTCTAAATTCTACTCATCAAATGGAAGTCTTCTCAGTCTTAGTATGTTCAAAGGAGTATCGTCTAACTCCTTCTCATCAAGTCTTTTCAAGACTAAGATTGAGAAAACTTAGACTTGATGAGAAGTAGTTAGACGATGCTCACTTGAACCGACTTAGACTGAGAAGACTTCGACTTGATGAGAAGAAGTTAGACGATACTCATTTGAACTGACTTAGACTGAGAAGACTTCGACTTGATGAGAAGAAGTAAGACCATACTTATTTGTACCGACTTCGGCTGAGAAGCTTTATACTTGGTGAGAAGAAGTTAGACGAGACTCATTTGAACCGACTTAGATTGAGAAGAATGCGACTTGATGAGAAGAAGTTAGACGATACTCATTTGAAACGACTTAGTCTGAGAAGATTTCGACGTGATGAGAAGAAGTTAGACGATACTCATTTGAACCGGCTAAGACTGTGAAGTCTTCGACTTGATAAGGAGAATTTAGACGAGTCCCATTTGAACCGATTTAGACTGAGAAGACTTCGACTTGGTGAGAAGAAGTTAGATAGACTGAGAAGACTTTGACTTGATGAGAGGAAATTAGACGGGACTCAATACGAAACGACTTAGACTGAGAAGACTTCGACTTGATGAGAAGCGATACTCATTTGAACCGACTTAGACTGAGAAGACTTCGACTTAATGAGATGTAGATCGACGATACCCATTTGAACAGACTTAGACTGAGAAGACTTTGACTTGATGAGAGGAAATTAGACGGCACTCAATACGAAACGACTTAGACTGAGAAGACTTCGACTTGATGAGAAGAAGTTAGACGATACTCATTTGAACCGACTTAGACTGAGAAGAATTCGACTTGATGAGAAGAAGTTAGACGATTCTCATTTGAACCGACTTAGACTGAGAAGACTTCGACTTGATGAGAAGAAGTTAGACGATACTCATTTGAACCGACTTAGACTGAGAAGAATTCGACTTGATGAGAAGAAGTTAGACGATACTCATTTGAACCGACTTAGACTGAGAAGACTTCGACTTGATGAGAAGAAGTTAGACGATCCTCATTTGAACCGACTTAGACTGAGAAGACTTCGACTTGATGAGAAGAAGTTAGACGATACTCATTTGAACCGACTTAGACTGAGAAGAATTCTACTTGTTGAGAAGAATTTAGACAAAACTCATTTGAACCGACTTAAACTGAGAAGACTTCGACTTGATGTGAAGAAGTTAGACGATACTCATTTGAACCGACTTAGACTGAGAAGACTTCGACTTGATGAGAAGAAGTTAGACGATACTCATTTGAACCGACTTAGACTGAGAAGACTTCGACTTGATGAGAAGAAGTTAGACGATACTCATTTGAACCGACTTAGACTGAGAAGACTTCGACTTGATGAGAAGAAGTTAGACGATACTCATTTGAACCGACTTAGACTGAGAAGACTTCGACTTGATGAGAAGAAGTTAGACGATACTCATTTGAACCGACTTAGACTGAGAAGACTTCGACTTGATGAGAAGAAGTTAGACGATACTCATTTGAACCGACTTAGACTGAGAAGACTTCGACTTGATGAGAAGAAGTTAGACGATACTCATTTGAACCGACTTAGA